CCTGACCAATGAAAATACGCCAGTCTCAAGTGTGGTTGAAACACGAAATGCTTCCAAAGGCCACAATCTGGGACCCTTTGACCGAGCGTCATGGGGGAGTCTACGCTACTGTGTGTTCATTCGTCCTGTTTTTGTTCTGGCGCCAACCTTGCTCGCCGTTCGGTGGGCGTGTTTACGGCGTATGGGCCTGGGTTACACAGGAAGGTCTACAGGAGTTTTTTAATGCCCCGCGTGTCACGCGTACGTAGGGGGCTCAGACGCAACCATGCAAATACATATGGCTGAGGCACTCTGCTCATGAAATTCAGACCGCGTGGGCGGTTTGTGAGCAAGGGTGTGATCATGCGTACCATTCGTTTAGCGGTGGTATCTATTTCGTTTGTTTTTTTTTCGTATCCAAACAAACAATATTCTCGCTATCTTCATGGTCGAGGTAAATTACCGAGAGAGAGGCAGCCGGGGGGTTGGCAGCTATCCACAGATAAGAGTCCAGAAGAAAGAAGCAACTACTTTTATTTTTTTGTGTCCCGTGATCTACCCCGTGGCTATACTATTCTCCGGGCAAGACAGCGCTTCGTTGACCGACCGTGAGCTAGCTGGGTTGCGTAAGCGTTCACCGACAGCAATGCTGACTCGACCCGTGTTCCGCTTGCGTTGATGATTTTTTTCCTTGCGCCGCAAGGCCGCGGAAGCGCCTCAAGAGACCGAGAACTCCAAGAGCTACAGCCCCGGCGGCGGCGGACTAGTCGCCAACGGCCCAGCTCCAGCTCCGGACGACGCCGCAACCCCGAGCCCAAACGGCACCTTGTTGTCGCCAAACGGCACATCCCCTACCCCAAACGGCACTTCATCGTTGCCCCCAAACGGCACTCCGTCGCCCCCAAGCGGGATGATGACAACTTCTGCGTCAAACGGAACCGGCACCAACCCCGCCGCAATCACCAACCCCACGGTCTCCGGCGGTGTTGGCTCTGCTTCAGCTGTAGCAGAGGGCAACGGCGATGGCAAGGCCAAGAGCCGGCCGTCGGAGGCAGCGCGATGGCTGGCGGTGGTGCGGGCGAAGATAGCGGACGTGAGCGCCGCGAGGGCTCTGGCGGCCGAGCAGGCCTCCGCGCGCGAGGAGAACGCGACTGCTGGCAGGCAAAGGTCAGTGGCGTTTTGATTCTCGTGTCTTGTGGTACCAGTTCGTATCATTCTTTAGCTGGGCCGGGAGGTAAAGGTCAGTGGCGTTTTGGATTCTTGTGTCCGTGGTGTACCAGTTCGTATCGTTCTTTTGCTGGGCTGGGAGGTAAAGGTCAGTGGCGTTTTGGATTCTTGTGTCCGTGGTGTACCAGTTCGTATCGTTCTTTTGCTGGGCTGGGAGACAACAAAGGCCAGCTATTTTTTCTGTTGTCGATCTTGTGTCCTACGAGTTTGATGCTTGAGGGTTGGTGTCATTTTTTATCCGGGCGAAGGTTCAGCTCGTTGTACCAAGGCCCTCTTTGCTTCCCCCCCTCCATTAATAACTCGTTTGTTTTTTGTGTTTTGAACTTCGCCCTAGTCCAGGTACATTTTGAAGTGCCATTTTTTTTTTTTTGCAAACGTTTCCTTCTGGGCCCCGTTTTTCGACGAGAGAGATATAGAATGTGGGTGGATGGATGCGTACAGCAGTAGACGATTCGAACGAGATCGTCGAGAGATTCCTAAACGCCGACAGACGGGAGCACAGCCGAGAAACAACAATGATGCAGCATGTATGTACAATGTAGCAAGAAGGCTGTTCTTCTTTCGTGCAGTATAGAGACTTTGTGTTATTTGACAACCCCTTCCGTTGTTCGATGCGGTAGATCTCAACAAACAACCCTAATCTCCCCTTGCCTTGTACTGCCGTGTTGCCACTTTTTCTTTCTTTTTTTCTTTCTTGGTGGAGTAGATCCTTACAAACAAACCTCTCTCCCGTATTGCTGTGTTGCCGCCTTTTTGCTGTGTGTGATCGTGTGTATGTATGTGTGTGTGTGTGTGTGTTTTTTTTTTGTCAGGGCTCTCGAGGTTGCCCAGAGGCGAGCTAAGTACGGACCGGGTCACGTCCCTCGCCCGCCGCCCGCCAGCACCGAAGGTAGGCCCATGCCACAACACAGCCGTACAGCAGTACGGCGTTTGGTTTTAGCTGGTTTCGCTCTTGCTCGCGTTTTTTTTTGTCTTGTGCATCCTTTTTGATTTGTCTCTATTTTTACAAGGAGTGTGTACCCTAGTTGCCCTGTGACCACGGAAAGCGTCCGTTCGCATCAGTTGAACCGGTGCGTATGTCAGAAGGTACTTAACAGAGACCGGAACGGTTAGTAGTGTGCAGGCAACAACAACAACAACAACATCAACAACTTTTTCTCGAGGAGAAACTCTGCTGCCCCTGCTTTTCCCGTTCTCCTTGAGAACTCGTTCTCCTTGAGAACCCGTTCTTTTTTTTTTTTTGTCTTGTCGAAAGGACGAAGAAGGCGCCTGGAAAAAATAATCACATGGCCTCCGTGTGTTAAAAGTAACAGCTACCAACTCCGCTGTTGTAGCTGAGTCCCAGAGGATTGGATGTACATATCCTTCTCCTCCTTCGCATATGTTGTGGTCACTTGCTCGCATCCAGTACGTGAAGGTTAACAGTAGGTTGGTGGCGGGTTGAATAGCTTGTCATTCTCGGCACGGGTTGTACGAGCACAGCGGGAAGCGGTTGGCACCCCAAAGCAGTATGCTGCTCGAGGAACCGTAGAAAATTTTAAGTCGGTCATCGTACAACACAACCCCCCCCCCCCCCACTTGGAAAGTTAGACACGATAGGGAAAACGTTTCTGATCCACCTTTGGCAGAGTAGGGAGGAACGATTGGCCATCGGTGATAGGTCCTGTGGGAACAACAATGCTCGGTCCTCTCGAGGACGCGTGGTCTAACCGCTAAGGCATGCGAAACATGAGCACCTCCCCCCCCCCCCCCC